AAAAAATCTTTTTTCTCTTTTATGCTGTCTATAACATAACAATTTGGTAAAAATATATACTTTTATAAACAAAATTAAAATGTCTTTTTCTCTCTACCTGATTGCTCCAAAATTTAAAAACTCTTAAGAAATATTTTTATGTTCATAAATGTTTTCATGGCAATATAGTTTCTTAGATAAATTCACTAAGAATCTATCCTCTTTGTTATAGGATATAAAAATATTGATTATACTACCAAAGCTTTGACACTAATCATATTTGAAAATGGTGAACATAGATCAGATATGAAACACAAGACAAATTTAAAGAGCTAAAGTTGACGTCAAGGAACCACTGCTTTGACAACCCTCTTAAAATACTGGCCTGATACCTGACTTTCAGAGTGCCAGGTCTTACAGGTGAGTAAAGGTCATTTTCTGGTAGGCCTATACGCCTCAATATATCTTGAGGGCCTTACAAAAAGAGAAATTCACCCAAATCTATAGGTACCGTAGTTTTAAGTCTGATGGCAAGTTCTTGATTTGGCTTCTTAACCTTGAGAGGCTTTTAAAAGTTCAGTCCAAGATTCCGTATTAAAAATCCCAGCAGAACAGACTTAAGAAGAATCTGTATGATCAATCACTACTTTTTGCTACAGTTATGTAAATAGTCAAGCCAACTTTAATGAGACTAGACTTATATTTACAAACAAATTAGTCTGATTATCTTTGGTAAAAATGGGGATGATTGTAGAGAAAAAAAATTCTGTTTCAATAAAAACAATAACATGCCTTTGTGGGTTGTCGGGCCACGCCATGTTCACTGACTCTGAGCTTTTTGTCCTCTTTACAAACTGTCTTCTGCCATCCTGTGCATTTCATCAGGAATTAACGGTTCCATTTTTTCTCCCATCCTCCCGACTTGGCTTCACTAAAAACTAAGACCATCCTTTTCTCAAAGCCCTGCAAGCTAAAGCTGAATGGCTTAATAGAAACTTAAAATAATAATAATAATAATAAAATCCACACAATGGATCATATATAAACAATCTTTGTGCCTACAGCTGTATGGAATACCCAGTCACACAGACACATCACCAAAGACATTCAAGCTGCAAGCCAGAAAATCGTCGAATTGCCCCTGCCTGTCTTCACTTTACCATTAAAGATGCTTTGAGCCCAACGTATAAAAGTCTTCTTGACCAACTGCCCTTTGCACTCAAAAACTGAGTTTGCAATTTGTTCTAACCATTAACCTCTATTTCTCTTTTCGTCGTCCCTCATTAAATGCTTGATTGCTCGCACTACATAGAGACCTGACTGGGGTGATTCCCCACTCCCCACTCCCCATTCTGCCACCGCCCCCCAAAGTGAGCCACAACTGTCTAACTGAACTGACCTATTCTCAGGACAAAGAGACGGAGCCAGTGACATATGGGACAATGTGTTCAGATTTGTTCTTTTCTGCTTGTTCCAATCTATGTTTTTCTCCCCCTTTTACAGAGCTCTTACTTCACAACTTCTAACTTGAATTTCTCTCCACCCCTACCAACTAAGCTTTTAATATATGAAACTTCTAGGAAGTTTCAGATGGAACGAAGGCATTGGGGACATGCCATCCCCAAATAGGCCACTTTGCCATATTGATTATTTTGAGTTAAAGGCACTTAAAAAAGAATGGATGCAAGAAGGGCACTCTGACCTTTTTTCTTTCTAAAAGCAGGAGATAAAATTCCGCTGTGAAAGATGCCCTATCTGTACCAGAAGGAAGAAACATTCTTATCGCGAGACAGACGGGAGGTCTTGGCTGAGAATACTCTGTACAAACAGACCTTGTTAAAAGAACTCCTTCCTTTAGTCTGCCCATACATTTTACTTACATTCCCAGGATTGCTATTCTTTGTTCAACTGAGTATGTAAGCATTTAGGCCTAGTCAGTTCTTTGGGTCTTCATTTTTTTATTTTTTTATTTTTTTACTTTGTGAGGACGCCCATGTGCACATAAATAAAATATATATGTTTTTCTCTTGTTAATCCATCTCACACCAGTCCCAATGGGAAACTCTAAGACGGTAAGGAAAGTTTGACCTCCCTACACATCCAATGAAAGGACAAAACTATGGTTATTCAGCCTTGGGTATCTGGCAGATATTTTTCCCAAAATGGATGAAGTGAGCCCATCACTTCAAGGAAAACAACTCATTTTATCATAGGCAACAGTATTTGTTGCCTATGATAAAATAAAGTTTTCAAGTAAAAGAATTTTGGAAAACTTAAATCCATTATCGCGAGGATCCACATGTTCATACGCAGCACAGTTTATAGCAGTGAAAACGAACTGTAGCCACCCACAACACTTCTTGTACTTAAAGACGTTTCAGATATCAGTGGTGATATTAACAATTACATATGTAATGTATATATAGAATTATAATGAGACATGTCAACATTGGGAAGAGACACAATATTTTCCAAATGACCAATGCATGTTACAAAAACATTTGTGGGCAAAGATCCATCTAAACTACAAGACAGAGCAATAGATTTTTATTTAAAAGAGAACCAAAACTTCATTATGTGGTTTCAGAGTCCACATTACAAAACAACCTTTAAGACACACTACTTGTCAAATTTGGTATCAAATCAAAGAGATATTTCTACACCATATGTGGCAATTAAATGAGAAGACTATAAAAATACTCCCTTTTCCAATTACGTATACATGTGAAGCCAGATTTCTTCATGCACCTCCACCAAAAGGACAGATTGAATGCAGAAGCAGATGTGGCAGACATGAAAAGATTGGCAACATTGTATAAAGCAAGGTCATTCTTCTCCCTAACTTTTTTTGTTTTGTTTTGGAAAATACATTTTTCATTTAAAATGTTTTTTTATGTTAACATGTAATGTGGTTATTATTGTGAAATAAATTAATAGGTATTTAATAAATGTCTAAGTTTTAGGGTCAAATATAGAAAATACTGACAGAGGTTCTGTGGTGTCCTCAATAATTTTTGAGTGTAATGGAGTCATGAGACCAAAAAGTTTGAAGACTGATGCTCTGGAAAAACTCTTGCCCACGTGTCCTAGGAGACGTAGACAAGAGTATTCACACCGTTTCTGCCACAGCTGGAAACTGAACGTAGCCCTAATGCCCATCTGCAGAACAAACAAATATATTGTGATATAATCATACTACATAATAGTAGGTAGCAGTCAAAACGATACATGATCTACAGCTAGGCACAACATGGATGAATCGCAAAAACATAACTTGGATGAGAAAAAGCAAGATAACAAGACTTACAATATGAACCCACTCATATAAAGCTCAAAAATACAGAAAGCTAAACAAAATATTCAGGAATACAAACAAATATGAGTTAAAAAAAATGAGCAACACCACTACATATCCACCGGAATGACCAAAATTGATAAGACTGACTAGCGAATTTTCACCAGATGTGGAGCAACCGGAACTGTTTTATATCGTCGGTGGGAGCGTAGATGGTACGACCACTTGTAAAAAAGTCTGGCGGCTTCTTGTAAGTGAACGTTCATTTACCCTATGACCCAACAATTCCACTTCTGGGTATTTATCCAAGAAAACAAAAATATACGTCCACAAAAAGGCTTACACGAAGATGTTAATAGCAGCTCTATTCATTATAACCCCAAACTGGGAACAGCTCAGAAGTTCATCAGCATAAGAAAGGATGAACAAACTGTGGTACATTCATATAATGAAATACTACTCAGCAACAAAAAGGAGCGGACTGTCGATGCCTGTAGCAACGTGGATGAATCTCAAACCATTATGCTGAGTGAGAGAAGCTAGACAGAAAAGACTACATACTGTATGTTGCCATTTATATGAGGTTGTAAAACAGGCAAAAACCATCTGTGATAGAAAAAAATTAGCAGAGGGCTTGCCTCTGCAGGGGTGGGTTCATGGACCAATGGGGAAGGGCCGTGAGGGCCTTTTCTGGAGTAATGGTATAGTTTTAAATGTCTTGAGAGGGGTTCAGGTTGCCAGGGTGTGGGCATTTGTTGAGACTCCCGCAGTGATGACTTGTGCGTTTCACTGAATATAAATTATACCTCAAGAAAGAACAAAAAGATCTAAGTAAATATTGATCTTTAGTTAATGATATGTAATACTGAAGCATTTAGAGGGAAATGACTAGAATTTACTTTGAAATTAATAAAAAATAGTATAGATTGATGAATAAGTAGAAGGATGGATAGATACGAGAAAAAAACAACTAATGTTCTTTAGAGTTATATATACTTAGAGTGATTTATAGATGCTGGGAGTAGAGTAGATTTTCTGTCTGGGGTTGCTAAGTTGATGTTTCCGGAGCAGCCTGTAACCTCCGACCCTCCACCCTCACCCCATGCAGAAAAGGCTAGGTCCGTGGTAAAAAATGACCTGTTCCTGAATGGCAAGGACAAGCCTCTGTGTGATACGCAGACCAACTGGGCCATTCCGCTCTCGCCCTTTGCTTCTCTGACCCTCAAGTGTTCCTGTCGTTTTTGTATTTAGCCATCTCTTCCTTGGATGAACCACTAAACCAGGCCAACTCTTGTGCTCTCTGGCTTAGGCAGCCTCCATCACATTCTTTTTCTTGGATTGCTACGTGGGTACTGCAAGAAAAAATTTCTCTCGCTGCTGAGATTGCTAAATTAGGAGGGTGTGAGTATGGGGCTGCCAGTGGCCATCCTTCCCACTGTGAGAAGAGCCTGGCTGAGCTTGAAGCCAAGGAACAGAAATGAGAAGGAGAAAGAAAGCCTTAGTGGTATCACCTGGTCTCCTGGATCCAGCCATTCCTGAGGCCCTGACCAGTTATGTAAGCCAGTACATTCTCTTTTTGCTCAAGCCAGTTTTATTAGGGTTTCTTTCACTTGCCACTAAGAGTCTTAACTATTGAAAGTCCTTGGCTGCCAAAACACAAGGCTCTATCTTTGTGTCTGCGACCCACACATCCCGCCTCCCACCCGCAACGACCGGCCGCACTCACTTGGTGATCTCCTCTAAGGCTGCCTCGGGTAAGGCCAGCATCTCCACCAGCAGGGACAGGATCTCAAAGAGCAGAGTGTGGGGGTTCGGGGGAGCCATGTCCGTCAGGGTGTTCTGTTCTAGGGACATGGAATGGTGGCTGCCATTACCATTTGGTAGCCCTGGACGCTCCCCTGCCCCAGCCACCTGGCCCCTCCCCCAGTCACCTGGCCCCTCCCCCAGCCCTGGGTTTGTTCCTGCTCACCTACGGAGCAGAAGAAGCGCCTGGTGTCCGTCATCACAGCCAAGAAGTCTTTGAAGCCCACATAGCCATCTCCTGCGGAGGCCAGAATAATACAGGGTGGGCCACGGGGCCTCCCAAAACTGGTTCGGACAGTGCAACCCCGCATGGTTATAGTGTTTACTCATTGGGTTTGATCATAAAATTATCACATATTCAATGCAGAAAGCATAGTGCACACAGGAAAGCAGAAGGTGAAAATTAAAATCTCCTGGGCTAGAAGCTCCCAGAACTTGAGGCCTAGAAGCAGCAGCCTGGGTTCATATCCCAGGTCCATTACTTACTATCTGTGTGATCATTGCAAAGTCTTTTAACCGCGCTAAGCCTTAGTTTTCCCATGTATAGGGTGAGGATAACTTTTATGCCTATCTCATGGGAGATAAAATGAAACAAAGCGCTTAGAACAGGGCCATGCATGTGATGTGTGCTCATTAAATGTCAGCAACTGTTATTATTACTGTGTGCTTGTTGCTGCAGAACACCTTTGTACACATCAGACTCACGCTTTGGCCTTCAAGGCCCTGCTAGACCTGCCTGTTACCTGTCTCCAGCCTCACCTGGTGCCAAGTTCCCCCAACTAACCTGCTCTTCCAGCAGGGACCAAGATCTTCCCTGTTAAAGGCCTTTGCACATGCTACTTCCTCTTCTAGAATTCTCTCCAACACCCTCCACACCTCCTTCACTAACAATTCTTTCCCCTTCACACTATTTCCTCAGAGAAGTCAGATCAGCCCAGGTCAGAACCACAACAAACACTCTCATAAAACCTCTGTACTTGAACCACACACTTGGAAGATCTGGAATTTATCGCTTCTCAGCCTTTTGGCTGAGATCAAGTGTGGAATTGAATGGAGGTTCTAGAAGGCAGAAACTGGGTCTGTTTTGTTCTGCTCTGGATCTTCAGGGCTTAAGACGGGCAGGTCTTAGCAAATGTTCTCTGAACTACTTGACAAATGAATGAATGGTCTCTAATCCTTAAAACCACCCTCTGAGGGTGCTTAAAACTCTTAACACAGATGAGGCTTGAGGTGCAGAGAAAAGAAGGCTGTTGCCTAGGGTCACAGTGGGGAAGAGCCGGGGTCAGTTCCTGGCTCGTGGGTGAGGATTTGCACATGAGCAGTGATGAAGGCAGCAGAATGTGATTCCACTTGCCCTGCACCCTCTTCCCTTTGTCTAGGTTATTTCCACCACCAGGAGCATCCCTCCTCTTCTCTCTCTGCCTAACTCCTGCCTAATCTTTCACAGTTTGGCTCAGGCATCACCTCCTCCAGGAAGCCTTCTTTCCTGATCCCTTCCTCCAAGCCACCTTACGCACCACTTCCTTTGGTGACTCTTACTTCTGTCACTGTCCGTGTGAACACCTCAAGTGCAGGTCATGTGGGTCTTAAACGTTTCTTTATTCTCAGTGGTCAGCAGAGGGATGGGCACACAGTAGGCATTTAATAGTTAGTGGGTGAATAATGGCTCCTGGATGCATTCTGTACACCAATTGTGCTCAATGCTTTGCCTGGATCATCTCATTTAATCTTTTCAGCAGCCTAGTGAGATAGGCACTGCCATCAGCCCCACAGGCCTGGTGAACTTCAGTGGCTTGTCCAAGGTCATACAGCTGGTAAAATGAGTGACCATGTCATGGGGGATGTATGATGACGCACACAAGAGGAACTAAGAGGAAAAGATCTCAGAGATCACCTATATCTTGGGGTCAGGAGGTAGATTTTGGTCACCTCTGAGTCTCCAGAATCGAGTATTGAGTAGGTGCTCAGAGAGCATTAACTTTTAGGCCCAAGACCAGTGGGGTCCAGAGCAAAATGAAAACCCAGAAAAAATTATTAAGAATTTCTAGACTGCAACAGCAGAACATTAAACTAAGGGCAGGCCTCATGCTGCCTGTGAAGCTGGCCCTGCGCGGGACTCCGAATGAACCCTTGGCTTCTCACCATCAACGTCGGCGCTGATCAGGGCGTCCTCCACCTGGGCCGGCGTCAGGGAGATGCCCACAAGGAGCAGAATGTTCTCCAGGCTGCGTGCGTCCACCTTGCCGTGGCCATTGAAGATCTCAAAGTAACTGCGGAAGGCTGGTGCAGGCAGTAAGGTATGTGAGGGGGCGACATTGCTTGTTTCCACCATTCACCCGAACCCCCAACCACCCTCCTCCTGCCCAGTGTCCTCGATCACCACGGCCCGGGGGAGGGGCAAAGCAACTAAAAGAGTGAAAGTGGAGGGGTGTGGCCCTATCTACGCACTTCACTCTCCATGCAAGGTCCAGCGGAGGGCTCAGCTGGGCGGCAAATGCTAATTAGCAACCTTCACTTCGCGCCAGGGGCACGCCCACTTTAGGCACGCCCACTTTAGGGCACCCCCGCTATGTGCCAAGCACAGTGCTGAGTTCTTTATAGCCACGCTCTCATTTAATTCTTACAACAGCCTTGTCGAAGAATTAAGAGTAAAGTAGAATGCTTGTTCCTTTTGTAAAGATGGGGAAACTGAGGCTCAGAGGTTAGATGACCAGACAAGACAGGTCTTTCTGACTCCAGGTCCGAAACTTTGGTGATCTGCGGTCACTTATCGGCATGGAAATAGCTTCTAGGATAGCTTCAGTTGTCTGGACCAGAGCAGAGGACCATGAAGGATGCTGAGAAAGTCCCAGAGCAGAGCCAGTCAGTCATAACATGTATGGCGTCTGGTTTCTCAGCCCATAGCAAAATGTGGGTTAGAAATAGACTCACTGAGAAGACCGGCTCTGCCACTAATAACAAGTTGGGCTGCTGTTATGGGCTGAATTGTGTCCCCTATCCCCAATTCATATGGTGAAGCCCTCACCCCTAGCACCTTAGAATGTGACTGTATTTAAAGAGAAGGCCTTTAAGAAGTGATTAAGTCAAAATGAGGCCACTGGGGAGGCCCCTAATCCAATCTGACTGGTGTCCTTATAAGAAAAGGCAATTCGGACACACAAAGAGACACCAGAGATACGCAGCAAGCACAGAGGAAGGACCATGTGAGAGACAGGGAGAAGGCAGCCATCCGCAAGCCAAGGACAGAGGCCTCAGGAGAAAGCAAACGTGCCACCACCTTGATCTTGGACTTCTAGCCTCCAGAACTATGAGAACATAAATTTTAAGCCACCCACTTTGTGGTACTTTGCTAGGGCAGCCTGAGCTAATACGATTGCCGTGGGCAAGTCACTGTACTTCTCTGGGCCTCGATTTTCTTACTTGTAAAATGGACATATCAACAATGCACCGGTTGCATTAATTTAGGGCCTGGCATATAGTAGACTATGTCTGTAAGCCTCTGACATACAGAACTGACAGGTGGGGAAGGGGGAAGGCTAGGATTTGGGTTGTGGGAAGTGGTGATGTGCTGTGAGCAGGCACCGTGGAAAAGGAAAAAAACAAACAAACAGAACAACCCTCAAAAACAGATCTGATCCTCTAAAATGCATGGTGGTTTGAACCATCAGAGCAGGGTGGCCAGCTCTTTCCTCACCGGACAGGGCTGAGGGTCATGGTGGGAACCCTGGGTCTCTAAGCCAAAATGGCATGTTGTCCATGAACTCTGCTCAAGGAGGTGGGGCTAAAGTGGCTAGAGAGTTTTAATGCTGAAAGGAATGAACCTCAAAGATGGAGTAATAGGGAGCTAGAGAGTATATTCAGAGAAAGCAAAAGATGGGGCCACTGTGGCCCAGAGGGTCCCAGAGTTTAGGGAGGAGTGAAAGGTGGAAGAGGATGCACACCCACTTTTTTAGGGCCACGGTGCGGTGTGGCTGGGCTGGCAGTGTGCACCGTTGGCTGAGGAGACAACCTCTGGAGCTCACAGGAAGCAGCAATCGCTCCTCCTCCCAGTGCAGGTACGTGGAGTCCCAGGGCCCAACCCCAAGGACGATGGAAAGCAAAGGGCACGGCGCCTCATGCCAGGGTGGGAATGCAGGACTTTTACATTTTTGAGTGGGGGTGGGATGCGGTGGGAAATGGGGACCCATCCAGGGCAGGCTGTCCTGTTAAAGGGTGAAAGGTGACCCAGGACAGGCAGGGGGACCCTGGCGCTCTGCCTTCCAGCCAGGCTGCTTCTAAAGAGGACCAATAAAGTGGACTCGGGTGGGGAGAGGCAGAAACACCTTCCAATTCTGAAGTGCTTTGCAAAATTGCTTCAATTACTCAGAGAGGCAACCCTGGAACTGGGAAGAGAACTGGACCCAAGGGACAGGACCCAGCATGAGTTCTGGCTCCCAACCCAGCGGTGTGTGAGCTTGGGTCAGCCTCCTACTCTGCACTGTCCCCTAACCGGATAATCCCACTGGGTGCACTACACAGGGCTGCGGTGGCATCTGTAAACCAACCCCTGTCCCGGGTCTATGAACCCCAGAAGATTGAGGGTTCTGCCTGCCCCTGTGAGGGGCCTCCCTGGCCAGGCCTGCCTCACCTTCCTCTTGCTTCAGGGTGAGGTGCTCCTCCATCCGCTCCTCCCAGTTCTGAGATAATTTTAGGAGGCTGTGTTCTTCCAGCTCCTGCCTGCAGAGGACAGAACCCGGGCCCAGGTGCACGTCCAGCCGCCTCCCCTGCCCAAGGCTGCCACCAAAAGCTAGAGGAGGGCGAGGGGAAGCCGGGGCAGAGGACATCATGGGAAGGACCCTGGCGGAGGCTCTGAGAGGTCAGGAGAGATGGAGTAACCCGGAGATGAAGGGAGGAGCGAGGCAGAGATGAAGGGAGACAGAGAAGAGATAGCGTGTGGCAGGTTAGAAAGAGAAAAAGGGTCAGGAATGGAAAGGGAGCTTGGATTTGGGAATAGAGAGCCGGGAAAGGTAGGGAGGACTCAGAAGTGAGCAGAGGTGGAGAGGGGGACGTGAGAGCAGACAGACAGGTACAGTGACAGGGACAAGAGTCTGGGAGAGAGATGCCAGGGACATGGGAACACAAGCTCTGATCCTGTACACACTTTTTGGGGTGGCTCCTACCGTGCCTTGGCACTGCTCAGGTTCCTCTCGCTGCTCTGGTGCAAGAGCTCTGTCCTTCTCCAGCCCAGGTCCGGGGCAGGTGCTTGTAGGACAGTGGCGGGTACAGAGGCTGGGACCGGGGCTCCCACAGGGGCAGGGATTGGCCCAGGGGCTGACGGCCGGGCCCAGGATGGGGCCATGGCAGGGACTGAGGTGAAGGTCTGAGTCAGGCTTGGAGCTGAGCTGCCAAGCAGTGCTGCGGTGGGCACAGGGATCAGGACTCGGGGAGACTTCCGGCTTGGTAGGGCCCGGGCCTTGTTGGCCCTCCGATGCGTGGCCTCCTCCTCCTCCACTTCCAGCAAGCACTTCATGAAGCCTTGGTTCTGGCCCCCTGCAGCCACTGTGAGCTCCTGAAGCTGCTTCTGGGCACAGTCCAGCTCCCTCCTTTCTCCAGTGTCCCTCACCTCCTGAGGACAGCACAGATGTAGGGAATCGGAGAGGCCTCCAGCCGGCCAGACTGTCCCATAAAATTTCTTCCTGCCACCCACTCTCTAGGGGATCCTCACATCGCCCCTTCCTCTCTGGGCCCCTGGAGCATGTCCTCCAAATTTCACATGCATCCCACTAGGCTCCACCCCCATGTCCTCCCCAACACTTGACCTGGGCTCTGCCACCTCCCAGCTCTCTGAGCTGTGGTCTCGAGTGAAATGGGCCCACCATTCATTTATTTCCTCCACTGCAATTGGCACAGCCTGTAGTGGCCTATCCACGCCCATTGTTTGCTTGTCTGACTGGAGGTAAGCTTCATGAGGGCAGGACCTTGTCTGCCTCTTTTACCCATATCTACCCAGCCACCAACACATAGTAAGGACTAAACAAGTTCTCACTCATTCGTTCAGCAAATCCAGCCACCTCATGCATCTGTCTCTCCCATTACAGGAATGGGCAGTCCCCAGCCCACCTCCAACCAGGCCATGCCATGCAGGCTCCAGCCCAGTCTTCCCTCCCAATCAAAGATGCAGCTCCGGCCATACACTCTTTCTTCTTAAAGTATCAGCGCTACTTTCCCCACTAGATGACTCGCATCAGCAGGTAGACATGACCCATTATCTTTCTTCTTTAAAAGAAAAAAAAAAAAACTCTCCTGACACTGCGAACCCCTTCAGCTTCTATCCCCTTTCTCCATCCTTCTTTCAAGCCAAATTCCTTGAAAGACTTGGCTGCCCCTCCATCTCCACTGTCCTCCCATCTCCAGTCAGGTTTCCAGCCACCACTCCCCGAAGCTGCTCTCACAAAGCCATGGTCAGGTCTCTGCTCTCCTCAGAGCCCATCTCTCAGCAGTGATAGCCATAGACGACAACCCCCCCTTCTGGAAATGCTGTCTTCTCTAGACTCCCAGGCTCCCATTGGCTGCTCCTCCCTGGCCTCCTTCGCCGGCTCTTCCTTGCTCTTGCTCCATTTCTAAATGTTGTGCAGACCCAGTGATTTGTCCCCGGACTCTTTCCTGCTCTGTGTTCAATCCCTCCCTAGAGGTGATCTCCATTTTCCTCACATTTACGTCTCCAATCCTGACTTCTCTGTCCTTCTAACTCCACACGTCCTCCTTGACGTTTCTTCTTGAGTGTCTAGAACATGATCAGAACAGACCCTAGGTTCCTCCATCTTCTCCTTCCCCAGTGTCACCACCTCGGTCAACAGCATCACCTGTTCCTTGGGCCCCAGACCTGGAAGCCCTTTTGGTTCCTCTTTCTCTACCTTACAATCCCAGCAGGCAGCCAGCCCATCAGCAAGTCCTGCTGCACTACCTCCTCCAAAATCCACGTCAAAGCCATTCCTTTTGGTTCCTCTTTCTCTACCTTACAATCCCACCAGGCAGCCAGCCCATCAGCAAGTCCTGCTGGCACCACCTCCTCCAAAATCCACGTCAGAGCCAGAAACATCTTCCATCTCTGCTTCTACCACCCGGGCTAAGTCATACTACCATCTCTTGTCCAGCGCGCTGCCATGGTCTCTGCCCTTGGCCCGCACCCAAGTTCATTATCCACCTAGCTGCTACATCAGTCTTTCCAGTTTATCAGCTCATCTCATTCTCTTGCTTAAAACTTCAATGGCTTAGTATAGACTTCAAATTAAATTCTGAACCCTCACCCTGAACTTCAGGGCCTTGGGTGATCTGCCCCTACCACGTCTCTGACTTCATGTCCCATCCTTTCCCGCCCTAGCTTCCTTCCTCCACTCTGGCCTTCCTGCTGGGCTTGGTCTAGACAAGCTCATGTCCGTCAGGGCCTTGCCACTGCTGCTGACTCTGCCCAGAATGTTCTCTGAGATCTGTGCATGGCTCAGGCCTTTCTGTCATTCAGGTCTCGACCTAAATGTTACCTCCTAGAGTGCTGAGCACTCCGGCAGAGAATCCATTGTTTGCCTCCAAGTCCCTCCCCTTGTCTAGCCTGACTTGCATTATTGCTGTCTACAGAGAAACGAGTTATTTGTTCATGTTTTAATGGTCTCTCCCCCAACTAGATTGTAAGCTCCATTCAGCATCAAGTCCCCAATGTCATGACTGGTGCATTGTCCTCAATAAATTAACCAACAATTTCAATTATGTCACTTTTCTCAGTGACATCAAAGGGGCAAGATAATGTGAATAAAGCACTTAGTACAGAGTAAGTGTTCAGCAAACGATAGTGTTGAAATAATTATAGTTGATAATTCTGCAGCCCAGAAGGGAGACCCAACTTTCCCCCCTTGCCAAAGACTCCATTGATTGTTCTTCTGAATTAAGGGCCAATGCTCAGTTTCCATCAGGTTAATACAAACAAACAAACAGAAGCAGTTTTGGAATTCCTATGCTCCATTGTTCTGGGGAAGGTTCCAGGTGGGGACCCCAGGGGGCAGCCATGAGCACAGTCTGTCATCACCTCTCCCACGGTCCTCCGGGCTGCCAAGGTCTAGGGCCCATGGTCCCATTTCAGATCCAGATTCTGAGCCCCAGGAGGGGAGGGGTCTCAGAACCTCCTCAATTATTTTGGGACCCAGCTCTGAGCTTGGCTCTTGGCAGGTGCCCAGCTCAGGTGAAGGATGGTGCCAAGGCCCTGACATCTGTCCTTGCCCCTTTTCAACTCTTCCACATCTGCATTTCTCCCTCTGCCTTCCCTGAGCCCCTTCTCCCTGGCACCTTATGTCCTATGTATGCTGTTGGACTGAACTCTGCGTAGCTCTTCTCCTGCCACGGCCCTGCTTCTGAGCCTGCAGCGGCTCCCTATGGCCTTCAGACCCATCTTCCATCCACCCGTACAACATGTACTCACAGTCAATAACATGTACTCACAGTCAATAACATGTCCTCACAGTCAATAACTGGAGGGGCGTGTGGGCCAAGGGAGGTGTTTGTGTTTGGTTTCTAATATTGTAGATATTAACCCAGGTTGGTATGCTTATGAACTGATCCTGTAGAAATGGAGAGATTGATTGGAAAGGAGAGAAAAGGTAGGAAATGAGAGCTAATGAATAAGCGGGGGGCCAGCCGTCGATGGGGACAGAGACCCACGTTCATGGCTTCTCCTGTAACCAGGTGAAAGTAGGGGAGGTAGAGCTGGGGTGGGAAGAGGCAGTGCTGGTTCTTGTCTATTGCTTCTCACCTTTCAGTGAGGCATGAGGCCAGATCGTCAACCCAGATGCAAGGCATGGAGAGCGCTGTCGGGAAACGACATTCTGGAGCGGGGGTGGGGAACATCACGGCCAGGGAAGAGCAGAGGATTGCCAGGAGCTTCTGACATTAGCGGTCATTGCTTCAGCGTGAAACCCATCAACCACACAGGGTTTCTCTCCAGTCGTGTTGAGCCGCTCAAGTGCAGGTGGAGGGTGAGTGGGTGGCTGGGTTTAGCCAAGGTCGGTGTTTGGCCAGTGAATACAGAAGAAGGACAGGCACGAATGATGACTGTGTATTCACAGGCTGCCCAGTCAAGTCAAAGAACTGGAAAGTGGCAGAGCCGGTGGAGGTAGGGAAGCTTTGGTTTGTGTGCTGTGACTGAGAGCAAATGAGTGGAAGACATCTACGCTGGTATCACTACCTAACTATTGAGTGAACCTAAGGGTTTCAGAATGTGAGAGCATCCTTGACCTCCACCCAAGATGCACACACGTGCATAACACATGCATATGTGCAAACACGCACATATATGCACGTACATACCTGTGCACACTCACACCAACGCACAGGCACACACTTACACTTTCCCCAGTTTGACTCCAAACACTGTCCCGTTTCTGTTCTGCCCCTGCCCCCTTCCTCCTCCTGAATATTCTTACCCCCATCCCCATCCCCACTATGGCTCTACTTACTCGTGGAGGAACAGGCCCCAGTACTGGCTTGGTCTCCATAGCCTTGCCCCTAAACGAAGGAGAAACCCCCAAGCGGGAGGGGCTCAGATCAAGCATTGCCCCTTGCACCCACCTTCTCTCAGCTCCCAGGACACTCAGGTCCACCACCCCAGCCTCATCTCCTTAGCCTTCTAATCTCAGAGGGGCTCCTCATTCCCTCACATCCCCATGTAGGGACTTGCCTAAGGTCTTACACCAGGTCAAGAGCAGTCAGAACTAGAATTTACCCCACCTGTAACTTAGCAGAGGAACAATCCTGTTGGGGTCAGGGAGTAGGGTGGGGAGTGGCATCAGAGGATGACTTACCCTTCTTGGGGTGTGTTAAGTCCTGGAGTGGATGGTGGGAAGGAGTTGGCCATCTTTTTCTCTGAAGTTATCATAGGAATTAGGGGCATCGCTTCCTGGAAACTGTCCTCAGGTCCCCCTGGGCCAGGCTCTGGCAAAATCTCCTGGGGCATAATGTGTTGAGTGCCTGTCTCCTTGGAGGACTTGTCTTCCAGTTGCTGTTCATAGCTGTCCAAGGTGCAAGAAGACTCTGTCGATTGCATTATATCTGACTTATTTGCTGCCTGGTGACCTGGGATGGGCTGCCACTCTGGGCCCTGCTGAGGAGAAGGACACCAAAATGGGGAGCCCCATCCTGGCTCCCAAGTGAACCTCAATACTCACCTGGAGACCAGTTATCACATGGTTACTCTGGTCCAGGCACTGCAAGCATCATCTTACTGAGTTCTCTCAGCACCCCTAGAAGGTAGCACAGTTTGGTGGCCCCATTTTGAGGGATGAGGAAATTGAGGCCCATAGGAGGCATAGCCTACCCAAAGTCATGATCACTGCTTCACCGTAGAGGTAGACTGGGAGCCTGGAGAAAATGAGATGATCCTCGGTAAATAGGATTCCCCAAGGGATGTTTCAAAGAGTAAGAATTCTTCATGGCATTTCTTATAGGAGGATTTTTACACTGACTGATTTCAAGATTTATTGTAAAGCTACTATAAAAAAGAAAGTGTAGTGTTGGAATAAAGATAGATAAATAGGTGAATGGAACAAAGTAGAGAGTCCAGAAATAGACTCACACTTCCATGGTCAACTGATTTTCAACAAAGGTGAAAATTCAGCAGAGAAAGGATAATCTTCAACAAATGGTGCTGGGATGATTGGATAGCCATATGCAAAAAATGAACCTCGATCCAACACTCACGCCATACACAAAAGTTAACTCAAGATGGATTGTAAACCTACATATTAAACCTGAGAATATAAAACTTGAAGAAAACATAGGAGAAAATTTTATGTGCCCTTGGGTTAAGCAAACATTTCTAAGAAATAACACCAAACGTGCAAGCCATAAAGAAAAGTTGATAAATCCAATTTTATAAAAATTCAGAACTTTTGTTCTTTGAAAGTCACTGTTAAGAGAATGGAAAAAGACAGCTCACAGACCAGGAGAAAACAATTGCGAATTACATATATGATATAGAACTTGTATTCAGTATATATAAGAATTCTCGAAGCTCAATAATAAGAAAACAAACAACCCAATTGAAAAAAAGTCAGAAAGTGAAAAGACAATTCAGAGAGTAGCATGAAAAATTTATAAATTGTCTATCTGGTAAGAGTCTAATATCCAGAATATGTAAAGAACTCTCATAAATCAACAATAAAATGACTAACCCAACTAAAAAAATAGGCAAACTATTTGATTAGACACTTCTCCAAAAAAGATATACAAATGGCCTATAAGCACATGAAAATATGCCCGTCATCGCTAGTCATTAGGGAAATGAAAATAAAGACCACGAGATTCCACCACACACTACACACCTATTAGAATGCTTAGAATTAAAAAGATGGATCATACCAATTTGGGGGGAGACTGTGGACCAACTGGAATTCTCATACACTGCGAATGGGGATGTAGAATGGTACAACCACTTTGGAGAAAGGTTTGGCAGTTTTTAATAAGTTAAACATACACATACCATATGATCCATTTCACTCGTAGGCATTTATTTGTTCAAGGGAAATGAAAACCTGTGGCTATATAGACATGAATGTTTTATTTATAATAGCCAAAAAGTGGGAACAAACCAAATGTCCATCAATAGGTGCACGGATGAAGAAATTGTGATATGTCCATGCAATGGAATGTTAGCGACGAAAAGAATGAAGTATTGATCCACACAATAACACAGATGAATCTCCAAATAATCATGCTGAGTGAAAGAAGCCAGTCAAAAAGAACGAATAACGTATGCTCCCATTTATGTAAAATTCTAGGAAACATGACATCTATAGTGATAGAACGCAGATCAGTGGCTGCCTGGGGATGGAAGGCAGGTGGGAGAAGGGATGATAAAGGGGCACAAGGATGCTTTTGAGAGGTGATGGATACTTTCATCTTCCTGATTGTGGTGATGGTTTCACGGGTATATATACATATGTCCAAAACATCAAATTATACACTTGAAGCACATGCAAGTGTACGTCAATTATACCTCATTGAAGCTGTCTAAAAACACGAAGTGTTAAAATAAACACAAGTACAAAGATATTTGGTAGTCAAATAAGTTAGAGAAGGCACCATACTCTAATTGTCTCTTGCAAGGTCCCACAAGGCTCACCAGCTAAGACAGTTTCTAGAATGTCCTGGCCTAAAGAAGCCTGTTTGAGCTTCGTTAAACCCAGCACATCCCAATTTTAATTGTATCAGAACTCTGGCCCCAACCTCCTCCCTGCCTCCAGCGCCCGCTGACATTCCATGGGCGCTCACTCTGAAAACGAGCTTTAAAGGCTTGCTCCGGACAATCAAGACTATCCAGAATATCCCAGTGACCTGCACAGACTGCACTTGACATCTCCAGGGCACAGAGAGAAGCAGACACAAGTGCCCAGAATGGGGTGCACCGGGGTGTTCCTTTGTCTCCCTCATCAGTCAGCCATGCCCTCCCGCCCAGGTCTTCTCCGACATTACCTGGCAGCTCTCGGGGGCCTGACTCTCCACCATCCCTGGGTTCTGCTGTCTCCCCTGCTGGTCCTCATTCTCCTTTCCTGACCTCTGCTGCTGCAGCCCTTCATGTGCTGTGGGGACCCTGGAAGGCAGCACCCCCAGTTCACTTCCTGGCTTGGCCTGATCCCGGCCTGCTTGCAGCACCTCCGGCTCTTCCTGAGGGGCCCAAGATGACTGCTTCTCCCTGGGGAGAACAGACAAAAGGACACCTCAGCTCCTGGACTGGGGAATATAGTTTTATACTCTACTCCTTTGTAGTTCCCAGAGCTACCTGTGCAGAACGAGGCACACCGTAGGTGCATACTTAATGCCTGAGAGAACAAATGAAGGGCTGACATGAATTCCCCAAATTACAGACACTTTGATGTCCATGTTTAGAGGAGTTAGGATTTAAGATTGTTATTATTATTTATCGTTTTTTAGCAAAAAAGAAAAATCAGAGAGAACCGACTTAGAATTTGAATCTATGCCTATCCATCTCACTTTAGTATTCTGGAGTACTTCTTCCAGGCTTCTCCCTCTGGATATACATGCATATTTGTATGGAGATTTACTTAATTACCATCTTCGAGTAATTGCATAATTTTACATATTTAAAATTACATTGCATAGACAATTTTGCAATCTTTTTTTCATTTAACATTATAGTCTAAATTTATCCCATGCCGAAAATCTTTCATAAACATGCTTTTTAATGAAAGTGTAAAACTCTATATTTTATAGATAATCATAATTTATTTAACTGTAGGCATTTAGGGCACATTAGCATTTCCAAGTTTTTTAGTGTTTAAAATAATGTGACAGTGAAAATTTTTCTGCATAAACTTTGCTTGAATCTCCAATTACTTCTTTAGGGCATATTTCTAGAAATGGAAGAAGGTAAAGACAGCTTTAACTCAGTTTAAACAAATTGCCAAGTTGTTTAAATCAATGTGTTGAAATGGTTTGCATTTTTCACCAGCGCGGTATGTGGTACCTGTCTTGGGACACTCAAACCTGGCTTTGATTGTAGAGGAGGTTATTTAGAGGTTTTTGGTTATAATCAAATTTAAATTCCTATTTAAATAGGAATAGTCTTTACTATTTCTACTTCCCAAGTCTTTCACTTTGCCTCTCTCTGGCTCTCCTTCGATTTTCTCTTTTTAAAAAGAATACATTCTCACTGCAGACAAATTTAAAAATACATACAATATTCCAAAAATAATAACAATCGTTCCATGTAAATATATGTTTCCGTGTCTTTCGGACTCTCTTTTGTTCGTTCTTCTATTAATTCAGTTAATGTATATCTATTGAGCATCTACTGTGTGCCAGGCAGAGTTCCAGGCAGGAGAGATTGAGGCTGAATAAGACACAAAACAGAAGCTTGTGGTCCAGTGGGGAAGCTCAGGCAAAGACTGACATAAATAATTATTTAGCATTATTTGTGCAATGAAAGAGACGTTCAGGTGCCAAGGCTGGGAGGGTCCATCCTGGTCTGGGAGTCCTCTGTCCTCTCTTTCTCCCCCAGGAGGGCCGTGGGGGGTTCTCTCTTAGACCTGCCCTCTGGGAAGCCCCCAGCTCACCCTGGGTCTGCCGGATGCCTCTGCTCCTGGGTCCTGAGCTCCGGAGGCCCCTCCTCTGATGCTTGTCCCGGCCCATTGTCTGGCCTTTCTGTGGCTGATGTGGGCTCCTTCCCACTGCCCTTCCCTACAGCATCTGGAAGCACAACCTGGAACAAAAATGCCCGTGGCACTGGCACCTCATTCTGGAACGTTCCGCTCACTCCTGGGCATTATCCTGGCCTCAGACAGAGGGAGACCCTGTGCCCAGCTAGGGAAAGTTTGGGAGAGAGGTGGGGATGAGACAAGAGGCAGGAGAGAGAGGCTGCGGCGCAGGGCCTGGCCCAGGTGAGCAGCTGTCAGTCGGCACCCATGGCTCTGGCTTAAACCTGGAGTCCCAAGTAGCAGCTGAGCCAAAGGTATCCCACTGAGAACGGCTTGGCAGGGCACCCTGGGGACCTCAAGACACTCATGAGGTCTAAGAGAGGCTTCCACAAACAACTTCCACTGCTTCAGAGCTCAGGCTCTGGAACTGGGTCGTGATAGCCCATTTTAGTCCACCACTCCCTGGCAGGGAGACCTTGAGTCAATGACTTAGAACCAGCTCCAAGCCTCACCTGAGTCAGCAAACTCCAGACAACCTGGCTCTATCACCTGACAATAATTGTACTAATGTAAGACTCTGATGCCAGCCAATACTGAGGGCACCTGCTGGGAGGCGGGGCCTGTGTCACGTGCCTTAGGGATTTCAGTTCTCACCATGACACACATGAGCAATGAGGCTTAGAGGGGTGCAGTGACATGCCCAAGGTCATACGGCTGGTTGAGTGGTGAGACTGGACTCCATGACTACTTTGTCGAAAACAATGAATGGGTGGGCGAAGGAAGCCCTGAATGTTTGCCCCAGCCTCCCTTCAAGATTCTCCCTTCAGGCCCTCTCCCTGCCCCCAGGGGAATCCATGATTTACAACAGAGGCTATAGGGAGAGAGTGATACTCAACCCAAGGGAATGTTGGCTTTTTTTATGGTGACATTTTTTGGCTCTGGGGAGATTAGATGGGTAGAGGGTCTTCTCTGTGCTTCTCGGTTCATGGCACTTGGAAAGAGGCTGATAAGTGTGTTGGAGGCTTAAGATGGGGCTAGAGAGGGGCGTGGATGGAAGCCTCGAGCAGCTGTCAGGGGAATAAACGTTATAAGGGGAGCTGGAGGCCAGGGGGTACCTGGTAGAATAACTAGGCAATTCTTTTGCTCCCCCAGCATCTGGCTGGTAACAGAAGCCAGCATTCTTTTCATGAAAACCTTTCCTTCTCTGAGCCAATGGGGCTCAGTGGAACCAACTGAGTACCACCTCTGGCTCCATTATACCAAGAGATCCAGGCCGCTCTGCCCTGCCATGGTGACTGGTTCAGCGATGAGTACATGACCACAGTCTGGGCCAATAACAGTGATACCAGACTTTTGTCAGCAATTGCAAAGAAGCTCTCTCCCTGCTGGGGATGCTAAGTCAGAGGATGTAAGCTAGGAAGATGTAAGCCTGGAGTGGCCAAGGCAATCCTTACCATCTTGCAGGGAGAGCCTACTTGGGAATGGCACAGAGGAAGGCAGAGTGAAGAGACACTCATTTAGCACCTTGAACCAGCCATACCTGAAGTCTACAGATAGATTTGTCAGTTATCCAAGCTGATGTATTCTCTTTCCTGCCTAATTCAGTTTGGAATGGGTTCTAAGTGTTAATTAGAGCAGTTGGGGAGGAAGCCTGGGAAGGGGAGGGGAAAGATGTCCTTGGAAGCGGATGTGTCAGAAAATGAGGTGCAGGTCCCTACCTGGCTGACTTCTGATATGGCGGGCTCAACATCAGCCATGTTGCTGGTGGTCCTAAGGCCAGGACTCAGCTGGGCCCCTGGAGACTTGATCCTACCCTCTGTGTACATCTGGGCGTTTCTGTTGTTCATTGTGCCAGGGCCAACGAGGGTACCACAGGAGAAATCCAGTCAAAATTCCACCAAGTCCATTCCCTAACCACTTCTCCAGCAGTCCACGTGGAGCCTGTAATGTAGGGAGCCTGGCTCAGGGGAAGAGGCAGGGCCAGGAAGGGAACACAGCAAAACCAGGGAGCAAGTAGCCACATGCAATTCACCCACATACGTTTTCTAATGCCCACAGTGACTGAGACGTCCAACATGGACTAGGTCACAGAGCAGGAAATGAACCATGGCCTCTGTTGGATGCCGAAACCCAAGCACTTTCCCCTATAGCAGCATTTCCTAATGAGTGTTCTTTGGAATATTAGATCGACAAGGTGCGCCACAAAAAACAGGTTCTGAGGCCACATGTGTTTGGAGTGTGCTGAGTTAAAAT